ATATAAATATATAACATGTTTTAGAAAATATATTTTATATAACATTTTAAAATAGTGTTTTTTGGGGGCATTTTCCACAATAATAAACTTAAAACTTCTATTATTTTTATCTTTAGCAATAATCTATCAAGTGTCTTCTTTAAGAGACCACATTTATCATTTACCATATTCACTTATTAACTTTTGTTGTAATATTAACTTTTGTTTACCAGGATAAAACATAAATGTCCTTCATTTTGGATCTTTTCAGACAGATCGTGAGAGAAACACACACACACACACACACTTAACATGTGAAAACGCATTCACCACTGACCATGAATCATCTTTCCTCACCTGTGACTTTCTGTGCAGCCCAGAGTTTCCCAGCAGTCTCTAGGACCCAGGCTTCCTGTCGGTCCACTAGTAAGAAGGTATTATGGTAGCTAAAGGGTTCGGCGGTCTCTCTGCAGGCTCCGCCCTGACCATGCTGCTCCAGCAGACTTGTGATCACATTCAGAGCGGCCCATGCACTGTCCCCGCGCTCCAGACCCAGCCTCGACACACACAATATACATCAGCTGATCAATTTCAAGTCTAGAAAGCAGGAAGATAAAGACGTTTGCTTGTTTGGAGCTCACCGAACCAGGTCCATTCCCAGCAGAGCTTCTTCTGGATCCACAGGCTCCTTGGTCCAGACGGCCTCATTCCCAATACACACCCCGTGTTCATTAGCCCCCATCTCAGCCCCCCAGAGCCAAGCGGGTCTGCTCAGCACAACCGCATGAGTGTGCTCTGCTTGAGGAATGGAAATATATGTGCACTACATGGAAAAGAGAATCACCTGTAAACCATCTATGGTTTGGCCACAACTCCAAGATTTTTACTCCGCAACCACATATTTGGAGGAGAAAGGGGAGAAAATATGAAACACATATTTGAAATATATTTGAAATAGAAAGTAGGTATTTTATATACCAATACTGATGAAATGAAAAAGTCAGTTCACCTCCACTGTAGATCCGGGAGCGTGTGAGGATGCAGGGTAACACACCAGCTCCTGCACCTCATCTCTCGGCCGGTCAGAGTTCTTACCAAATATCACATAATCTTCTTTTGAACCCGGAGGCAGAGACACAAAACAGTCACATGACCGAGGCAGTTCAGCCATCCTGTATCAAATCAATGAATAAGGATCAATGCGGTGGATCATATTCAAATGACAATAACATACCTATGCACAATGGAAAGAATAGCAGTATGGAAAAAGGACTGAAAATATGACACGTGTAGGCTTAGATACCTAGTTAAAAAAGCTGAATTTTTTTTTTTTTATAAATCTGGAATAGATTATTTAAATGTTATTTAATACACGAGTTTCACAATTTTAGTTGAATTATTGAAATAAATTGACTTTTCCATGACATTCTAATTTATTGAGATGCACCTGTATTTGTAGCAATAGCCAACAATACATTGTATGGGTCAAAATTATCCATTTATTTTTCTTTCATGCCAAAAATCAATCATGTTCCATTAAGATATTTTGTAGATTTCCTACCATAAATATATCAAAACTTAATTTTCGATTAGTAATATGCATTGCTAAGGACTCCATTTGGACAACTTTAAAGGCGATTTTCTCAATATTTCGATTTTTTTTTTCACCCTCAGATTCCAGATTTTCAAATGTTGTCATATTCTAACAAACCATACATCAATGGAAAGCCTATTTATTCAGCTTTCAGATGATTTATAAATCTCAATAAAAAAATAAAAAAAATTTACCCTTATGACTGGCTTTGTGGTCCAGGGTCACAAATGTTCAATAATTCAAATACTCGATTCATTTTTAATTTTGGAATTTAAACACTGCCAAAAATCCAACTGCTAAATATAAATGTTCAAAATAATTAAATTATTGCACTTAAATATTCCAACATAATACAGAATAAAATGTTGCAGGAGCACTAATAGAATTTATTTAAAAAATGACATTTTATTTAGAATGAAAGGATGTTATTGAAGAAGCAGAAGAAAAACACATGGAGTCCGAGTCTGCAGACTCGTGGTCAAGGGTCATTTTCACTGGTTTCTCCAATAATGATGACTGCGCATTAAAAAACTGAAAACATTGTGTTCGTTGTTGGTGTCAAACTGCTTCACAACAACAACAACAGTAAGAGTAGATATAATAATACTCATTTATTCCAATGCAATACATAAAACCAAATAATACTACAAACTAAAAGTCCTGAGAAAGCAGGGCTGAGCGTGTCGTGCAGGAGTGCGCAGGATTACTGTAGCGTTAAGTCTCTTATCGCCTGACCTCCATTTCACCGATCTTCAGATGCACAACACAATCAAAAGCTGCTTTTAAGATCTGAATGCAATGTTTCAGAAGAGAGGATTTTAAGATCTGATCGTCTATTGATGGCCTGTGTGTCTGATAACGGATCAATATAAATATGCAATAAAACTCATGCATCAAAATTAACGCGTGACAGCCATGTGCATGCTTAATTTGGCTTTTAATCTAACTGTCTAGCACACGTTCGAGTGTATTTGATGAAGTTATTCTTACCTTAATAAGCTCCAGATCGGTCAGCGAGCCTGTGAGAGGCAGGGCTGAGACTGATCAACCTACTACTGCACACACTTCAAAATAAAAGTCCTAGACTCCACTGAACCGATATTATTTACATATTAAACCAGAAAGCTTGCAACAGCAAAGTGTTTTGACATAGTATTTTGAAGAACACTCTATAAGGACGTATAATAATCCACAGAACTGTTTTTGTTATTATTTTGGAATAAATGTAAATGCTTAAAAGCACTAAACTGATTAGATTTATACTTGGTTTTAATAAATAGAATAATTACATGTTCATGTAAAAATAGAACATAGATTTTTTTATTCTGGTAGTGTAAAACTTTTGAACAGAATGAAGACATTTTTCTTATTTTGCCTAAATATCATATTTTTCATTTAGTACCAGATGCTACAGGAGATACACTGAACAAAATTATAAACGCAACTCTTTTGTTTTTGCCCCCATTTTTCATGAGCTGAACTCAAAGATCTAAGACTTTTTCTATGTACACAAAAGACCTATTTCTCTCAAATATTGTTCACAAATCTGTCTAAATCTGTGTTAGTGAGCACTTCTCCTTTGTCGAGATAATCCATCCACCTCACAGGTGTGGCATATCAACATGCTGATTAGACAGAATGATTATTGCACAGGTGTGCCTTAGGCTGGCCACAGTAAAAGGCCACTCTAAAATGTGCAGTTTTATCACACAGCACAATGCCACAGATGTCGCAAGTTTTGAGGGAGCGTGCAATTGGCATGCTGACTGCAGGAATGTCCACCAGAGCTGTTGCCCGTGAATTGAATGTTCATTTCTCTACCATAAGCCATTTCCAAAGGCTTTTCAGAGATTTTGGCAGTACATCCAACCGGCCTCACAACCGCAGACCACGTGTAACCACACCAGCCCAGGACCTCCACATCCAGCATCTTCACCTCCAAGATCGT